ATGAGCATCGTCGAGCGCAGGAAGAAGATCATTAACTTCTTCCAATTCTGCCAGTTCTCCTGACCCGTCAGCTTCTCGATGTGCGTCGGCGCGTTGGGAAGGTTTGCTTTCCTGGGTTCATCCCCCTCCTGACTTGTCTGCCTTTGTAAACCTGACCGGTTTCCACGGTTCGACATATTTCCTAGGAGTTCTGGAACACTCAAAGAGAAATCACACGCAAGTACTTTTCGCAGTTACGAGGTTTTACGAGTATGCCGGCCGGCGTGGGGACGCCAAGCGCGCTTGGGTTAGCGTCACGGCTTACACGCAAAACGGCACGAAAGTATTACGAGATAACACACAATCGCTTGCGCAGTGGAAGCGTTGGACTGGGCCCATAACCTTTTGTAAATTATGAGTGTTCAGTGTTTGTGGTTCTAGATTTATACTTAGTATTGAGGTGGTCAGGGAGCAGGAGAAATAACAACGAAGTGTTCTGGCTGAGAGATGGCGGCAGACTGTGGTTTATTCAAGCAGGGACGCCACCAACAGGTGGCGCCACAGTAGTCAACAAGTGCAATGCAGTCTAGTAGGCAGTGCATGTAAAGCGGCAATATTGGAATAATATACAGATATGTACAGACATGTAAAGATGAAGCATTAATTTACAACACTTTTACCTTCCTTGCTTATTCAAATTATCTAAACATCTAGTTAAATCACAATTTCAATTTCAGCCGCATTTCATTGATTTTGTCAATTCTACTGCTTGGCTGTTGGAAGTGTGCCAAGATAACGAAAAGGTTGTTAAAGGTGTGGAATCTGTTGATGGCGAAAAAATGTGCAGAATAGAGGTATTTATTTAATTATTTGGTTATTGGCTGACTACTTCATGCATGGCAAATGTTTAGTCTTTACTAATATGTCCCCTCATTTTTCGGTTACAGTTTATGTCTGCTGACTTTGCAACCATCATTGTGAAAAAGGGATTAATATATGATGGGTGCAAACTACATTTAGTTCAGGAGATGAGGCCTGCTAATGCCCTTTCACCAACCTCATTTGTGAAAATTTCAAACCTGCCTATATTTTTTCATGAGGTAAGAAAGACACTGTGAAAGTCTTTGAAGGCTTCAGGATTCTACACTACACTATTTCTGTGACAACTAAATTTTTCTGTAACTTTGGCAGCCACACTTCAAACATTTCATGAAGGGAAGACTTCACTCAGCTGTGGATGTTATCCTCCAAATTAAAAATTATTCTGCAGCCGATAGAACTTGCATCGCTGAGGTAAGTTTTGTATTACTTTGAATTGTAGGTGTGAGGTACATTTTCTATACAAACCGGTATCAAATTTGTAATCTGATTTTAATATTTTGTTTGGTCAGTTTGCCGATGTAAAGTGGGCATCCAAAGTGTGTGAGGAGGAGCTAATCTATGACATGCAGAAGCTTGTGCTGGTGCAGGAGATGGCTGGGGACCCAAAAACCCCTCAAGGAACTACAACTGTGCGGGTGAAGAATTTACCCAAGTTCTTTCATGAGGTAAGGGTGGTTTAGATAAAATGTTAATTATTAATGTCACACAATTGTGAAACTTTACTCTTATATTTTATTCCAATTTTTTCCAAATCTAGGTGCATTTTGAGAATTTCCTGAAAAAAATTGGTTTACTGTATTCACTTGACAATACAGTCGTCAAAGATGTTACGTCTTACAATGAACAGAAAAATACCTGTATAGTTGAGGTTGGTGATTTTTCTCACATTATGGTTTGATGTAAATTCACTCCCATTTTTGAAAGTTGTCAATGCCTGACCTACTTTCCTTCATTTCAGTTTGCCTCTGCTGAAATTGCCTCAGCATTTGTTGGCTTTAAACCATTTGTATACGGCAATGCCCTTATTCGGCTGGATTTTATTGACACTCTTGCTATTCAGGATGATGAAGATAAAGACTGGTGTGATGACCCTGCGAATGCTACTGAAGTGGCTGAAATGAATCGGCTTGACACACCCTCCCTGACGAGCCGAACGACATGGAAATGACATGAATTTTATGTCTTCGTATGTAACATGCAATGTCCCAAATGTCCAAAATAAGTCTTAATTATGGCAATACCATGTACAATATGTCTGAGCATGTGTCCGTCCTATGACTTTATTTGACCTTATGTCCGCTTTGTCAGTCCTTTCAATGGACTTTTGGTGTC